CTCTTCCCTGGAGCAGATTCAATATTAATTTGTAACTGTAATCAGTATTATTGTCTCAAAAACAGAATAGTGTGGTCACGTATTAACAATGACTGTGTGCCTGGAAAACCTTTTCCATTTATATGAAATGAAGATAATTAGGCTTTCCATGAATCAGCAGTTGGAGACTTGTCAAAGACAATCGATTCAATCAGCTTCCCACTAGTTCTTGTCGAAGACCATTGAAGCCAAATCATCCCAAGTTTTGACCACGAAATCAACATGCCGGACAGAGTTCTCTGTTACAATCTTTATGCAAGATTGTATGATGCCCTTCGGCTGCTGCTAATGCCGGCAGCAGACTAAACACACTCTACATTCTATCTCTGCAGATTCTAGTTTGTTATCTGGAACCCATACACTGATACTAAATTGTGTCGACCCTAGTTCTGATAACTTCAACCGTTGGTCCATAACTGTGGTCGATTTTAATTCCAGAGCACAGCCTCCTAAATAGGGATGGACGTAAGATTTTATTTTAGAGAATAAATATATAAAATTTTAGGGAGACGAAAACAGATTATTAATAGAAAATACACAGACAAAATTTAAATATAGGAGAATTTTAAAATACCAAGGGGTGGCTTCTCCCACTCGTCCTTCCTCGCTCCTCAATCGAACACTGAAAGTGTGTAAAAGGCCGTGGGAAATGGCATACCATGTCCTGGTGAACATTCGACGGTTCGAATGGTAGAGCCGAGAAATTTGACTTAGATTCCTAGCTATCGAAGTAGATTTAAGAGGAACAAAAACAGATTCAAGCTCAAGGGGTCCTAGTCCTACTCGTATATTTCAATTTTGTTCGATTATATATGAATTCTTTGCTGTTCATTCCTTTTAATCTCCAGTTTCTTTGAATTTTGTCCAACATGTTATTTATTATTACTCCCACTAATACATGTCTTTGTCTGTTCTTTTATTTAAAAAAATAAATCAATGTTGTTTTGTTATGACAATTAAAAGAGTAATATCTAAAGTAATTAGATTATGGTATTTTAATTATCCGTAATAGAAGAAATCATTCGCAAAATTGAATCCAAAAATCCAAAAATAAAACACTAATCTTTAAAGGTATAGCAATAAAATATGTTTTTTTAATAAAAAAATAAAATAAATTTTTAAAAATGATATTGTTTCGAATATTAATAACAAAATATGCATGAAATGTTTTTTTAAAAAAATACACAACAAATTAATGATTGAATCTTAGCACCTGCAACTTTATCTCTTACTTTCAAATTATGATATTCTTTGTATAAAATTATATGATGCCAACTGACCTTAACATGAGATGAGAGTGCTTTCCAAAGGAAAATGACCCAGTAACTATAGTTAGGCAAAGTCAATGAAAATGAGAAATCAAGAGCAAGAGCTTTAAGATTTGAAACCAAAAAAAAGAAAAAGGCAAAGTCTATGTTCTAGGTGATTGAAAACAGCCAGCTGCCTAACAAATTTCAACCAAGCTTTATTTCAATGTAGTAAGGGACACCATCAGAGCAATAGCAAGCAAGCATGCTTAGCCACACATAATTTGCCCCATACAATCATTTTCAGACCTCGAAACAGTATCCAATATTCGAAAGATTTTAGACAATAATGCAATCAAGATGAAATTTTACGGGGTCAAATAAAATGACGGAAAATCTAATTGTTAAGTTATTAATTTAAAACTATCAACATAATGTTTATTTAAACCTTAGGTTTTTCTCTTCTCGTGGCTTACTCTTTTTTCTTTTTTTTCATCTTTGCTTGGCTGACGGTCGACAACTAAACACCAACTTTAATGATGGTGATTGTTATCAACCGTCTACATTTCTTTTTTTTTCTTTACTTTTTTATATCACATTTTTAATTCTCTTTTATTTTTTTAGTTTTTTAATAACTCTGTCTGTATGATACGTTTTTCGGTTTTCTTTATCAGTCATTTGATCGTTCTTTTCGTTTATCTTATTCTCATGGTTGAATTTGACGTCTTCTTAATTGATTAAGATGATGCTTATTTGTTGTCCTATTGATCATTCCTCTTTTGGACCCCGTATTGGATTTAGATACGTTATTGCGTTCGTGGATAGTTTTTTTTTTTATATCGCTCGATTCTGATGTGTGATTTGTTAGTGTTATTTTACTAGTTTGATCCCTTTTGTAATTCATTTTTTGATGAAATTAGATCTATTCATTTCTAGCTTTTTTAGTTGAGTTTTTTACATTTTCCTTGCATGATCATTGTATGATCTCAAGTGGCTAGTTTATTGTGTCAATTGTTACAGTAAAATATCCTAATTACATGTTTAGTTTACGGTTATAGTTATAAATTTTCATTGTAATTCTATATCTTTTCTCACTTTTAATAAAACTAATGGGTTATATTAAAAACACTTATTAATTAAAAATTAGGAGATTAGGGTGGTGATTATTGGGAAGCACATAACATGTCACAAAGGTAATTAAGTGCCTTCATGATCGGTTCTCTTTGAAGGACTTGGGTGTACTTCAATACAAATTAAAGAGGGTAATTGGACAGATAAAGATTTATTACAAGTAGCAAATTGTTTATTAGAAATAGTCATTGTGATGTATTGGGACAATTCAAATGTTTGAATTATCCAATTAAAGTCTATTGTGCATTCAATTTTACTTCGAGGGAGCGTTTGGTTCACAGAATGTAAAATTATCTTTGAGAATAACATTACTGGAATGTAACATTACTATGGGAATGTTTTATTATGGTGTTGGTTTGTTTAGCTTGAATGTGAAATTACAGTGTTTGGTTGGAGGAATATAAGATTACTTAATTGTATATTTTACCAAATTATCTTTGTGACATGTTTTTTAAAAGTTAAACTTTAATATTAAATTATAAATATTTGAATGAAAATTCATAAAAATATTTTAATCGTTATATTATCTAACTTATGAAAAAAAATATTTAATATATAATCAATGTATTACACTTATACTTTTAAATAATTTTCATAAGCATCATATTTATTTATATAAACCCTAAATCTCAACTCAGGGCCTAAATCTATAAATTTATATATAGTTAAAAGGGACAAATTATTTATGTAGCCATTCACTTATTATTTTGTTTTTGTTTTGGCTATCAAAATATTTTTTTTCTTCAAAATCATATTTAATGTTACATTTTGTTTATTTTTTTGTTGTTCATCATTAAAAAAAAAATTTATTGCATTTTAAATTATTTTTTAATTTTCACTTAATTATTCTTTAATTTATTTTTTAATACTTGTTATTAGGGGCCTAATTTCTATATTCGCCCCAGGCTACTAAAATATCAGCATGGGCATGGTTGTTACATCCAAGAAGGGTTCATTAATGACCGCCATAGCTGTTAATGGGGTTAGGTTGAAGAAGAAGAAGAGTCGATCAAAATGGGCCAATTGTGGCGATCAATAATCCAACTCGTGTTTCACCCGACCGAGGGTCGATTAGATCTGGTGTTTCCTATCCTTTAGACCCGCTCGATCCGCTTTCTACGAGAGTTACCCTATGTTTCTGTAAATTATTTAAATAAAGGTTAATATTATTCATATTAGGATTCCAATATGGATTTTTAAATTCGTAGGATCTAGCGTTGCCATTGATCGTGATCGAAAGACTCAGTAGTAAGCTTCCCTATTAGACTACTCAGACTGATACAGGTGTGTTTCATGTTGGTGTTACATTACTGTTTTCAACTATTTGTCTGAATTGTTTTATATTTCTGATAATACTAAATATTTTTAAGACACAATACTTAATTTTTTAAACACAATTTATCTGATATTTGATTTACTGTATATTTCTGATATGATCTCTAGATTATCGTATTTTCATATCTGATTTTTGAAAATAGAATATTTTCATGTTTTAATGGATTAAACTATCGTTTTCATTCGACTATATACATGTTATTTCTTTCATTGGGGGTTTTATTGGATGAAGTATCTCAGGCCTAGTCTATGACTTGTAAGACCTTATCGCTTTCTGCAGGCTCCTCTGCTTTGTGCACAGGGTAAGCCCTAACTGGGTGTACATGTTGGTGTATGGTTCTGGGGAACCTACACATTCTGGTGATCAGACGGAGGTAGTGTTCATGTTTTTAAAGCATGTTTGATAAACCGATTTTATTGAAATGATATATATGTATGTTTTTATACACCATAAGGAGCACATTGAGCTTTTAAGTTCATTCCATAAATTTTAACCTTTTCAGATAATAGCAGACTTGGCACTAGGAGGATCGACTACTCCTACTTTTGTACTACTGTATATCTCTATATGTCTTTGTTATACTTTGGTGACATGTGTTTTGCTACCGTCTTGATATATTTGTATTACCGATATTTTGTTCCGTAAATGTTTTATATGGTTTTCTAATATATGTATATATATGTTTATCGTATGAATCCTTATTATGGATAAATTTCATATTATAATGTTATATGGATTTTAACGTTGTTTTAAATATAAAAAGAATTTTTGAATGCGATATGTGATAGCCTAGATTTGGGTATAACGTCCAGGTCGGGTCTAGGGTGTTACACTTGGTGGTACCAGAACTTTCGGTTTTAAACACTCGGACTTTGGATAAGTTATAAACTCATGATTTTTACAAAAATTTTGATATTTTCAAAAAAACGTGTTACCTTATTTTATGAGTTTTAAATATATTCAAAATCTCTAATGCTAGTCTGACTTATGTTCAAAATATTTATGTAGAGCCTTATAGATTTATTCGATGAGAGCTGCTATAATCCTTTGTAAATGTCTGCGGTCAAGATTTTGAAGTCTTTGGTAGCTTATGGAGTAGTTCTGTCTATGAGGGTCTTAATATCCCGGTTGTGAATATTAAGAGTTTGGGGACAGTTCATAGTCTCGTATATTAGTACATAGAGTTAGATCGTATTTATAAAGGGTGTTCTACAGAGATCCATGGGAAACTCTTTTTGGTCGACCTGATGGAGTTACCATTGGAGGAGTTTGACTTGATTTTTAGCATGGATTGGTTGAACAAGCATCGAGTTAATCTCAATTGTGAAACTAAAAGAGTTGTTCTGAAGACTCAGGATAACCGAAAGATTATGATGATCGGGGAACGTCGTGGATTCTTGACAAATGTTGTGTCTGCTTTGGTAGCTGATAGGATGATCATGAAGGGTTCCGAGGCGTTTCTTGCTTATATTCTGGATACTATGAGTTCCTTATCTGACATTGAAGGCATCCGGACTGTTAAAGATTTTCCTGATGTTTTTCCTGAAGAGTTGCATGGATCACCTCCGGATAGAGAAGTTGAGTTTGAGATTGAATTCTATTATGGTTCCGCCCCGATTTCGATGGCTCTTTACCGTATGGACCTAAAGGAGCTTAAGAAACTGAAAGTCCAACTCCAGGAGTTATTGGATAGAGGATTTATTCGACCTAGTATTTCATCGTGGGGAGCTCCAATTCTCTTTGTCAAGAAGAAAGATGGGACATTGAGACTCTGTATTGATTATAGAAAGCTGAAAGCTCATGGTTAAAAACAAATATCCTCTGCCCAGGATCGAAGATTTGTTTGACCAATTTCGAGGGGCTTTTGTGTTTTCAAAGATAGACTTGAGGCCTGGTTATTACCAACTCAAGGTGAAAGATTTTGATGTCCCAAAGACTGCTTTACGTACTCGGTATGGGCATTACGAGTATGTAGTGAATTCATTCGGGTTAACTAATGCCCCTACTGCTTTTATGGATCTGATGAATCGGATGTTTCGACCTTACTTGGAATAATTTGTAGTTGTGTTCATCGATGAAATACTGGTGTATTCTCAAACTGAAGCAGAGCATGATGAGTACTTGAGGATCGTTTTACAAACTCTGAGGGAAAACAAGTTGTACGTCAAGTTAAACAAGTGTGAGTTTTGGCTCAGTGAAGTGAATTTTCTTGGACATATCATTTCTGCTGAGGGTATCCGGGTGGATCCGAGTAAAATGGAGGTTATTCTGAACTGGAAGCAACCCAAGAACATCTCAGAGATACTAGTTTCTTGGGCTTAACTGGTTACTACCGTTGTTTCGTTTAAGGGTTCTCAATTACTGCAACTCTTCTAACGAAACTGTTAAGAAAAGATGTTCCATTTATCTGGTCTGAGGACCAACAAGCTAGCTTTGAGAAACTCAAGCCCAGTGTTGATTCAGCTCAGGGAAGGATTTTTTCTGTCTACAATGATGCTTCTCACTCTGGATCAGGATGTGTTTTGATGCAAGATGGTAAGGTTGTCTTTTATGCATCACGTCATTTAAAGCCGTATGAGCATAACTATCCTACTCATGATATGGAGTTAGCTACTATGGTCTTTGCTTTAGAGATCTGGAGATATTATATCTACGGAGAAAAGTGTTATATCTATACCGATCATAAGAGTTTGAAGTATCTTTTTACTTAGAAAGAGTTGAATTTGAGACAGTGTCACTGGTTGGAGCTTCTAAAAGACTATGATTGTGAGATAGAGTATCATTCAGGGAAGGCTAATGTGGTGGTTGATGCCTTGAGCCATAAGATGATATCCGATCTGAGAGCCTTGTTTGCCAGTTTGAGTTTGTTTGATGATGATATCCTGTTAGCAGAGTTACAAATTAAACCCACTTTTTTCGAAGAGATTAAGGCTAAACAACTCCTAGATAGCTCTTTACTTCCCATGATTGGGCAGGTTGAGCAGAGAATAAGTTCATAGTATACTTTTGATCAGAATGGTATTTTGTGCTTTCGTGGCCGTTATTGCGTTCCTAAAAATGATGAGTTAAAATGAGCTATTCTTCATGAGGCTCATGGTAGTCTTTATGTCATGCATCCTGGTGGGGACAAAATGTACAAGAATCTCAAGGAGCGATACTTTTGGAGTGGCATAAAGAATGATATTTCAGATTTTGTGGCGAGGTGTCTGACTTGTCAATAGGTTAAGGCAAATCACCAATATCCATCGGGACTGTTGCAGTCTATTAAGATTCATTAGTGGAAGTGGGAGCGTATTACAATGAACGTCGTTGCCAGTCTTCCTTTGACTCATTCCAAAAAGGATTTTGTTTGGATGATTGTTGATCGACTCACCAAGTCAACTCACTTTATCCCTGTTTGGGTTAATTATTCTTTGGACAAGTTGGCTAGATTGTACATTTTTGAGATCGTTAGACATCATGATGTTTCATTGTCCATCATCTTTGACCAAGATCCGAGGTTTACTTCTAGGTTCTAGAAGGCTTTGCACAAGGCTCTGGGTACTCATTTGAATTTCAGTATAGCTTTTCATCCACAGACCGATGGTCAATCTGAGCGAGTGATCCAGGTGTTGGAGGATATGTTATGGGGTTGTGTGATTGACTTCCGTGGTAGTTGGGAAGATTTCTTGCCTTTAGCCGAGTTCGCTTACAATAAGAGTTACCAGGCTAGTATTCACATAGAACCGTATGAGGCTCTATATGGACGTCATTGTCGTACTATTATCTGTTGGACCGAATTTCATGATAGGAAGATTTTGGGTCTAGAGTTAGTTCAAGAGACTAAGGATATTGTCAGATTGATCTGTGATCGTCTAAGAGAGACATTCGATAGGCAGAAGTCATATGCAGATCAGCGACAAAATGATATCGAGTTTAAGGTTAGAGATCAGGTTTTTCTGAAAGTGTCTTCATGGAAGAAAGTGTTGAGATTTGGACGTAAGGGTAAATTCAGCCCAAGATTTATTGGGTCATATCGTATTTTGAATAAAGTTAGACCTTTTTCTTATCAGCTTGAGTTGTCTTCCCAACTCAGTCGCATTCATGATATTTTTCATGTATCTATGTTGAGGCGATATCGTCCAAATCCAGGTCACATCATTCAGATTGAGGAGGTAGAGTTGAGATCTGATTTATCTTATGAGGAGGATCTCGTTCAGATTTTAGATCGGATGAGAGAGTTCTTCAGAATAGGCGTATTCCAATGCCCAAAGTTCAATGGAGTAACTGTGGCTCCTCAGAAGCTACTTGGGAGACAATGGAGTCAATGGAAGCTCAATTTTCGCATCTGTTTAGATCAGGTAAATTTCAATGATGAAATTTCTTTTAAGGGGGAGAGTTGTCACACCCCAAAATAGGACCTAAAATTCTCTTAAAAAAATTCAAGGACTAAATTGAAATTTTTGATTTAATACGGGGACCAAAGTGAAATTTTGATTAAATTTGAATCCAAATTCAAAAAACAACTAAAGCTGGAGGACCTATAGTGTATTTTTACCATTTTTAGGGTTTACATAACCTCAAATCTAGAAAATTTTCAATTTTATTTTATTTTATCTCTTCAATATTTTCCTCTTTTAGAAAGAAAACTTTGATCTCCGTTTCGTCGTTGATCGTTATCCCGTTTTCGACACCTCCTGCACCATCGTGTTCTTTGCGTCGTCCCAATTCCACCGGTGTGTCATTCTTGGCTCCGTTATCACCGGCGTGTGAGGGGATGAGGAAGATAAAGTTTTTAACGTTTCAAAATCGAGGTCTCCACCGTTCACCATTGTGAATCGAGGTTGGTAAGTGTCTCAAAACCCTTAAAATAGTTATAGGAATTTTTAAAAGAATTTTTCCGACCTTGTACGATGCCCTACACTCCGCCACCTGCGCGTGGGGAAGTCCCATCGCCTGATGGTTTCGAGATTCTGTCCGAACATGACCCGTCTGCCTGTACCTGACCCGCTGACCTGTGTCCAACCCGACCCAGTCTAAACATTGACTTTGACCCAAAATGTCAAAATTTTTGAAAAGTCATATTTTATTTTTTTCGACACTATGAGTCCGATTTCGAAATCTGTTTTGCCAAATTCTGACCCGAAAGCCCCGAATTGAGCCCGTTAATCCAAAAATGCTTAATGTTTTTAGCATTTGTTTCTTAATTTTTTAGGATTTGATTATTGAATTGACTCTAGAATATATTTTTATGAAGATACTCGTGTTTCATCCGACTGAGGGTCAATTAGATCTGGTGTTTCCCATCCGTCAGACTTGCTCGATATGCGTTCTACGAGAGTTACCTGTAGGTTTAAATTATTTAAATAAATGTTAATATTATTCATATTAGGATTCCGATATGGATTTTCCAATTCGTAGGATCTAGCACTGCCACTAATCGTGATCGACAAACTCAGTAGTAGGCTTCCATATCAGACTACTCAGACTGATACAAGTGTGTTTCCTGTTGGTTTTACATTACTGTTTTCAACTATCTGTCTGAACTGTTTTAGGTTTCTGATAATACTAAATATTTTTTAAGATACAATACTTGATTTTTTGAACATAATTTATCTGATATCTGATTTACTGTATATTTCTGATATGATCTTTGGATTACTGTATTTTCGTATCTGATTTCTGAAAATGGAATATTTTCATGTTTTAATGGATTAAACTACTATTTTCATTCGACTACATACATGTTATTTTTGTCATTGGGGATTTTATTGGGGGAAGTATCTCAGGCCTAGTCTATGACTTGTAAGACCTTACCACTTTCCACAGGCTCCTCTGTTTTGTGCAGAGGATAAGATATTACCGCAGGTTCCTCTGCTTTGTGCACAGGGTAAGCCCTTACTGGGTGTATGTGTAGGTGTATGGTTCTGGGGAACCTACACATTCTGGTGATCGGACGGGAGTAGTGTTCATATTTTTAAAACATGTTTGATAAACTGATTTTACTGAAATATTTTATTTGTATGTTTTTATACACCGTAAGGAGCACACTGAGCTTTTTAGCTCATTCTGTAAATTTTAACCTTTTCATATAATAGCAGACTTGACATCAGGAGGATTGACTACTCTTACTTTTGTATTATTGTATATCTCTATATGCCTTTGTTATACTTTGGTGACACGTGTTTTGCTACTGTCTTGATATATCTGTATTACCAGTATTTTGTTTCGTAAATGTTTTATACAGTTTTCTGATATATGTATATATATGTTTATCGTATGAATCCTTATTATAGAGAAATTTCATATTATACTGTTATATGGATTTTAACGTTGTTTTAAATATAAAAGGAATTTCTGAATGCGATATGTGACCGCCTAGATTTGAGCATAACGTCCAGGCTGGGCCTAGGGGGTTACAACCCTTATTATATTTATGATTTTGAGTAAAGTACAAAAAATAAGATTCGAAAAGGATCATTATAAAAAGAATTCATTAGTCCATAGATATTCTTGTCTAAAATAATAAAAAATTGTTTAATACCTAAGAATTCAGAGGTAATGACATTCCCACCGTTTTAACCAAAAAATTACTACTATTCGTAAACTAAACGTAAGAATGTAATTCCTGAATTTATTCTCTTGGTAATGTACTTGTCAACGAAGCAAACGCTCCTGAAGTTTCATTTTTTTTTTTCTTTTCCGTCTCTTGTTTCTCTTCTGCCTCTCTTTATTAAGTCCATTTTATGGCGGTCGAACAAAGAACCACAACAAAACGCAGACTGTTTCCGACTGGTCAAATTTGGAACGCAATGCAACGAATTTAAGCAATTAAATCAAAGAAGATAATCGAGAAGGGCATTAATCAGAATTGCATATTGGCTGAAAATGATTACTTAACCGATTTTGCAAACGCCAAAATAATGGACTATTCCTAAATTCAGTGTGTAACCGGTCAATTCTGTTAAAATCCAATAAATAAATATATAAATCTTTTTTATAATAAATAATTAATAATTAAAATATAAAAAAAAAACTTATAAGAGTTAATTGCATCGTATGTCCCCAATCTATGACCTTGATTCCAATTTGGTTCCTAAACTTTTAAACATTTCAATGTTATCCTTAAACTATGACTATCATTCTACATTAGTCCTCAAACTTTTAAACATTCCCTTTTTCATCTCCAAACTATGATCTTCATTCTAAATTGGTCCCATATTTTTTAAATATTTCAATTTTATCCTAAATTATACGTATATACTAATCATATCTCTTGTTAATAAAATTATTAGGCCAAGTTATGTTGTTAGATGTTTGAAAAAAAATAGGTTAAACCATGGTTGGAATGGATTACATATTTTGATGAATTTGGGCATAAAATTGGAAGATATAAAAGTTTAGAGACCAATTTAGAATGAGATTAATAGTTTGAGGATGAAATTTGAATATTTAAAAGTTTATGGACTAATTTAGAGAATGATATTGGAATGTTTAAAAGTCTAAGGACTAATTTGAAATGAGGGTCATAGTTTGGGGACATATGATATAATTTCAACTTATCATAATATAATTATTTTAAATAATTAACCAAACTAAATTAATTATAATTTAAACGATTAACTCGATTTTAAAATGGTCGGTGTCACCCCTAAGGCCTTCCTCCTTGATGCACTCAATTCCAATGTGCATTGCAGAACTCCTACACAAAATTTATACCCATTGCTTAGCGGCAATTCCACCAAATAATAAATCACAGAATCATTTCCCACTAATGTCTAAACCAGTCAATCACAATTTTCATGTTTGAATATGTTTAAATATTATTTTTAGGGTAAACTATATGTTTAGTACCTAAACTATTACTTTTGTTTTGTTTTAGTACCCAAACTTTATTTTTTTAAATCATACCTAAAGTTTAGTATATATTTCAATTTGGTACTCTGATGTTAAAAAGTAAAAGAAATATTGATGTGATATTTTTTATTTTTTCAATGATTATGTGGTATCACCTTGTAGTAACACGTCAACATCACTGTTAATTTTTTAATGAGTGGGTACCAAAATGGAACCTAAACTAATCGTTAGATATAGTTTTGAAAAAATTCAAATTTAAGTACCAAAACAAAACAAAATAAGAAACCTAAACTAAACGTTAGGTATAATTTTAAAAAAATAAAATAAAATTTAAGTACCAAAACCAAACAAAATAATAGTTTAAATACTAACCGTGTAATTTACCTTATTATTTTGTCAATGCATTTCCAAAAGAATGAATCATGTTAGAATCCTAAAAAAGATATTAATAAAAGAGAAGCTCAAATTCCAAACATAAACTATAAAATAATCATAGATATTACTGAAATGAATAAGAGCATTAGATAATTTAAAAAAACCTCGTTTTCTTTTCTACCCTAAAAACTTAGTTTTCATTGGTGTGACGCTTATCTTTGTTGATCAACGACTACACCAATTTTAATATTTGATGTCGACTGTCATTATTTTTTATTGTCTTTTTTCTTTTCTATAGTGTATCTTTATTTTCTTTTGAATTTTTATTTTCAATAAGTATACATGTGTTGCACATTTTCATCTACTTTTATGACTTATTTTCTAATGCTTTTTGGCATGTTTCTCGGTTCTTTGACTTTTTTTGTATTTATCTTTTTTCTAAGGGTTGATTTGGCATCGCCACGACTAATCAAGATGACACTTATTTGATATTTTGTTGTTCTTCCCTACTTTGGACTCTCAGATTAGATTTGGATACCTGATTTACATTCATGGATAGCTTTTCATGTCGCTTGAGTCTGATTTTGCCTTTTTCGGTGGTCTTTCAATAGTTTGATCAACTTTTGTAGTTCGTTTTTCGATGTAATCATATCTATTTATATCTATCTTTGTTTGAGTTTTTTTTGTTAGATTTAGGGTTGTAAATGAGACGAGACAAATTGTGAGCTACTCGAGATCGACTCAGTCAAGGCTCGATAAATACTCGGATCGAATGGACTCGAGCTCGACTCGAATTTTTAACGAGCCGAAACGAGCTACTTGATACTCGACTCGAAAAGCTCGTGAGCAGCTCGAAAATATAATATATTAAGATTTTATTTTTTTTAAATATATTATTAATAATATTAACATTTATGTGTTATTTTTTAAAAAAATACAATAAGGCTTTCATGTATTTAAGGTTCAGGTTCGAGTTTGAGTTTGAGGTTTCAATCTTGTTAAGTTTAAGATTTTTTTTCATTTCGAGCCTTGTCAAGCTGCTCACGAGTTTCAGTTCAGGATTTCGAGTTCGAGTCGAGCTTAAAGATTTTAAGCTCACGAGTTTTTGAGTCGAGTGAGCTCCATTTTAGATTTTTCGAGTCGAGTCGAGCTCAGCAATACTCGAGCTCGACTCGGCTCGTTTACACCCCTAGTTAGATTTAATCTTTCCTTGTATGATCTTTATGTAATCTTAAGTTATTAGTTTTGTTTCAATGATTATAAGAAATTTTTTTAATTGTGTGCTTAATTTATAATTATGATTATAAATCTTTATTATAATTTATAATTTTTCTTTTGAATAAAATTAGTTGATTCCATATAAAAAAAATAAGAGCATTAGATATTTTTCGATATTGGCCTGCTGATATTTATTAATGATGCATATTTTGAATTTTTTACTTGTAAAAGTTTATACGTTAATATCATTCAATCAAATCAATTGTCACTCATTGTTAATATATTCAAAATGATCACCTAAAGTTGTTTATGTGTGGTAGTAA